GAATATACTGAGAAAAGCCACAAATCTACTAGTTTCGAACCACAGAGGGGTTCTTCCTCATGAGCAACGTGCGCAATCGCGGCGACGTCGCGCAGCTCACTAGTAGAGCTTTTAACTAATGTTGTCTACTTAATTGTATTAACATACCTCTATAGTAACATTTAAGATTGGATTTCTTGTAATGACAATTACTTCGTTATTTATTTTTCAACTAATCATCGTCATTATTTTTGAATAAGTTATTGATTGCTATGCTTCAAAACCGCCGAAGTTATGTCAGTCGCAGGTTGGAGAAGCGATTTGCAATCTTATTGTTTGGCAATAGAGTTGAAAATCTGATTTGGGACAAGGAGACACAGCATGGGGTATTTTGATCATAAACGTTTAGTACGTTTGTTGCAAGGTATGTAATGTATCTATTACGCCTGATCTGAAAATAGAGGAAGGTCTAGTTCAGCAATGGAACGTCTTGTGATATTATAATGATGACCATGACGATGAGAAATTCAGTATGTCATTATCAGTACTATATCATGTCAAATCAGTCAAGAGCCGAACTTATTGTCAAAAACACGATTAGCAAATCAGTAACCTCATGTTATTAAATTAATCACATTTATAGGCATGACCATGATTTTAGTTAAGCCTTCATTATTATTTTAATAAAGAAGTAAATTTTCACTGTCACATGAACCGTCCACATTATTATTTTACTATGAAAAATATGTTGTCTGGCATAATCCGCTTAGATTTAAAGACTATTATTATATTTTAATAAAGAGAAAAAAAAATGTGATGCGATAAGATTAGCCATGCTTCTCTCCCGTACTATTTGAACACACATACTTAGGTGTCAAAGTAACAATTAAACGTTGTTTATTATATTATTGTACATTTACTCAGTTTGTGGTGTATTTTAAGATTAAATACAAAATGTGGACAGGGAGTTCACGCTCACATATTGGAGCCCAAATGGTCCCGTACAGCTCGGTTTCAGAGGAATTTCCTCCTACGGACATTCCGATTGTGGAATGAACTCCAAGAATTCCCCGGTGGGCTACAATATATTCATTCTTCAAGAAAGGAGTAAATAGGTTTATTAAGGGTTGGCAAGACGCATGTAATGCCCTATGCGCTGCAAGCATGCATAAGCCACGGTAACAACTTACCATCAGGTAGGCCGAGTGCATTTCTTGCCACCGACTTGGTATAAAAAAAAAAATATTGTTATTACCTAATAAAGTTTAATAAAATGTACTATCGAAAAGTACAAAAACGCTTATAGTTCACAAATGATAATACTCTGTTCCTAGTTGTTTCATTCAGAAAAAATTCTCTCGTGTGAACAGAAACTTTTGCATTCAACAATTACACCAGTTAATCCTATCATCAGAGTTTCAGGGGAACGGTACGACATATACCAAGAGCTTATAGAACACACCTCCAACAAAAACCCATTTCATTGTAAAAAGGTTAGGTGACATAAAAATGTAGGTACGTACATCGTTTCGTTTAGGAACACATTTAGTTTTTCAGTCGAAGTTTTGTTTGTTTGTTGTGGTAATATAGGAACATATTCCTGTTATCTATTCAATATTTCGCTACTAATATAATAAAGAATAAGCGGATTTTCTGCGAACGACACCTTTAGTCGCAACACAACTGTTTTTAGATATTGCAACAGTATGTTTATTAAATTATCTTTTTTTTATATTTGTTGGGGCGACGTTTGACCACTATCTCACCTGATGGTAAGCGATGATGTGGTCTACGATGGAGCACATCATCGCTTACCATTTATCTGGTGTTGGTATAGGGGCCTTCGTAGTTTATTTTCTATAGGTTACCTTTCGCCTTTATTGTTGCACAATCTTAATAAGTGTAAAGTCGCCTTGGGGGCTAAAATTAGCAAATATCTACACCATTAAATCTATTTCGTTTTCGCCTCGCGACAAAACAACTTACCTTGGGGAGTACTTTCGACGTATAAAGTGAAAACAAAAACATAAAGATGACATATATTTTGCCACCACGCTTGCTCAATGCTGGTTAGCGATTACAAACTTAAGTATAATTATAATTGTAAGCCCAGGGTTTTGTCACGATGTTTTCCTTCACCGTTTGTCAGTGGTGTCTAGATAATCCAAGAAAGTACATATACCTCAGAAAAGGTCATATTGGTACTAACTGTGTACCTAGGGTAGGTTTCGGACCCGCACCTTCATGCATGAGAAGCGGGCGTCTTAACCACCGGGTCATCACGACACGTATGTGCCTACTATAGCTTTTCTCTAGCCAATCAAGATAATTTCAGAAGGTTTCACAACTAATACAACTTTTAAACGGGGTTCGATAGCCGAGTCTCGGGTTCGATTGCCGGATCGATCAAAGTATTACTGGGTCTTTTTTTAATTCCCAGTAGTAGCACGGAGTCTTGGATTGTGCCCGGTATATGGCAATACGCTCACCGCCTATTACATGGGACTTGTAACATAAATAGTGAAAAGTAGATGTTACATTGTGCAGTGGCATTAAGTGCCATAATGTGCACCTAGCCTACCCGTTCGGGGATAAATAGGCGTTATGTTGTGTTGTTGTGTACCTAAACTTTAAGGTACAACGTGTGAATTAATGTTTTCAGTTGGTTTCACACTGCCTGATAAAGTTCCCATTAGTGTAACTGAGAGATAACTTAACGTAGGTATTTAATACACGAAATGTGCCTAAATATAAACTGTACCTACATACTTTACATATTATATTTTGTAGACATATTTTTCAGAGAATGAGTACCTACCTATGTGATGTTAGTGAGTTTTCAAGTGGTTTAATAACATTAAATAAATCTTTGTGTACCTATCAGTGTTGTGTCGTGGTGGCCCGGAGGTTTAAGACGCCCGCTTCTCACGCATGAGGGTGCAGGTTCGAAACCTACCAACGGCAAGTACCATTGTGACTTTTTCCGAGTTATATGTACTTTCTAAGATATTTAGACACCACTGACAAACGGTGAAGGAATAACATCGTGAGGAAAGCTGGACTTGTAATTTCTAATTATAAGTTTAAAATCGCCTACCCGCATTGAGCAAGCGTGGTGATTAATGCTCAAACCTTCTTCGTGTGAGAAGAGGCTTTGCTCAGCAGTGGGTATTTATAGGCTGTTGATGATGACTGGTTTACAGTCACACCATTAGATAAGTAGGTACCTACTTAGTTAGGTAATTTTTGTTAAGTGTCTATTCTAAATTACACAATCCCAAAATTTACATTTTTAGAAGAAAAGAAAGAAAGAAATCCCCTTTATTCTTGGGCAGAACACACGTAACATAACTAAAAACTACAAAAAATAAAAATAAAATATAATATAAAGCGAGGGTAAACCATGGTATCATAGAAATAATAGAGATATAGGTACCTACATCATATAAAGAATGTCAGTCGATAGCCATGTTTAAAAATAGGTTAAGAAAATATGTATTTGAAAATATTTATTAATACCGTTTGATCATAACTCTGTATAATTAGTCATTTAAGCTCATTGTAAGTAAACCATGTTCTTTATGAGTAAATAAACAATCATTAAACCTAAATTAAAAATACCAAGGTTCAAAACTGAAGAAAAAAAAATGAAGAATGAAGTGAAGTTTTTCTGGTCTTAGTACAAAAATACCTACTGTGTACTGATTTCTTTAACCTTGAATTAATATACAATAGGCTCAACCTCTTTTACATGGGTCTCATAACATACCTAAATAGTGAAAAGTGGGAGTTAGGTACATTGTACAGTAGCTTTAAGTGCTGTATTGTGCACCTCTGCTACCCCTTCGGGGATAAAAGGCCTGATGTTATGTCATGTTTGTGGAATTAATATAAAAAACATATTCTTGAAATTGATAGTATTTAGAATCAGTTTGTTAATGTTAATACCTATTTATTCCAAGTATGTTAATATTTCTCCCGCAGAAGGGGCAAGTGTTAACAAACAAATTTTTACACCTGGGAGTTCTTATTTAACTGATGGTTTTTATTTTATACTTATAACGTAGATTAATAACTTAAATACCTACCTCTGTTGTATCTAGTAGGTACTTACCTGAATAAAAATATAGGAAAAGTTTAATTCATCATATAGGTAGGTATGCTCTGGTTATGACTGTATAGGTAGTAATACATGTGTATATATTGTGTGTGATTGTCTGCTTATATAGCTATTAATTGTCAATGTAAATAATAGGAGATTGCGTAGGTATGTACTGCGCAAGTTACCTACTAAGGATAGGTTATGTTACTTTGTCATAGGTACTGCTTTAGACACCTGTTAGTACTTGCACAGGTATCATATACATTACCTACACACATTAATTGACACCTGATCAATTCAATTTTGCAAAAATGATTTATTACTAGAAAAAACTACTCAGTAGACCGGTAGGTACCCGGCAATTCTACAAAATAATAAATTAATCATGTTTCTGTCTACTTCATAGTTTCTATTCGTAGTCGTGCTCGGCCAATATCGCGTTAATTGTATTCGATTCTAATTAATTTACGTTTTTTGTTCATCAACGACTTTTACTTGCGTACGGCACTCATCTAATCATAGAATTAACAATTTAAAAAAAGTCGTATTTATTGCACTACTTACTAGAGTTAGTATTGCGTTGCCATTTAATTGTAATTTATCGCCAAATGTAACGCGAACATTGTACAATATGGTTGTGTGCGCGCGTGGTGCGCGGGCGCCGGCCGGCGGTCAATGCAGGGGCGCGGGGCGCGGGCTGGCGGGCGCGGGGCGTGGCGCGAGAGGCGGCCGACGCGGCCTGCCCATTGGCCGACAGCTGCTTCAGTCCCGCCTACGCGCGCCGCCCGCCCCGCGCCTCGCCGCTCCGCTCTAAGACTCGCCGTTCAGTGCCTCGCGGTCCGTCGTCTGTGTCGCATGCGTAGTAGTGTGTCTAACTCGCGCTTTCCGCTGCAGATGCGATCCCGTTGTCGTTGAAGTGATGCCGGCCGAGGAAGACCCCGCGGCGATGGAGTGTCGGGAGCCAAGCGATTCCCCGCAGCAGTTCTGCCTGCGGTGGAATAACTACCAAAGCAACTTGACCAGCAGCTTTGACCAACTTTTGCAAACTCAATCTTTCGTGGATGTGACTCTATCTTGCGATGGACAAAGTTTGAAAGCACATAAAGTGGTTCTGTCGGCATGCAGCCCATACTTCCAGTCGTTGTTTATGGACAACCCTTGCCAGCACCCGATAATAATAATGCGTGACACCAAATACTGCGACTTGAAAGCTGCTGTGGATTTCATGTATCGGGGCGAGATCAACGTGTCCCAGGAACAGATCCCGGCACTACTGAAGGTGGCTGAGTCGCTGAAGATCCGCGGGCTGACAGATGTGAGCGGCGAGCACGCAGTAGTGCAGCCGGGCGGGCGCAGCGCCAAGAGGCCGGACCGGAGCCGAGAGGCGGACTCACCGCCCAAGTCGCGGCGCCGCATGTCTGAGGACCGTGCCAGCGGCGGCTCCAGCCGAGCGCACCAGCCGACCCCCAGCCCTACGCCGGCCTCCGACCTGCTGCCGCCGGCTGAGCCCGTCATCGCGACCCCCGTCATGCCGCCGATGCACCCCGAAGACGTCGACATCCGGCCCGGCATCGCCGAGATGATCCGCGAGGAAGAGAGGGTAAGTCCGCCTGTCCCCAGCTGTCGCCGCGGCCCGCGCGCTAACTTACTTCAAAACTTTTCCCGCCGACCGGGAGGGCAGCCCCGCGCGCCCTCGCACCCCCGCTCGCAAAACTTTCCATACAGTAGCGCATTACGTAATTAATTTATATTTCACTCGACTACATTATTAATGCTAATGTGAAAGTTACAATAGTGTTTCTTACTTCATCAGATCGATATAGGGCCAAACAATGTGGAAAATATCACAAATGCAGCTGCACAAATATTTGCAACTTTTAATAAGTTGCAAACTTTAAATCAGCAGTTTGTCTCAATACTTATTGGCTATTTGATTGTTTATTTCCGAGCGCTCCTAAGTGAGTTATAGTGTTGTTTTGAAATATGCCCAATAGTTAGATCGCTAGTTACAAAAAGGGATGACTAGAAACTTTACAACTTCAACTCTGTGTACATTAATTTATTATGATTAAGAAAAGACATTTGGGCTTGAAAAAATATTCGCAAAATTGTAATAATGCATTTTTTTAAATTATTTGTGCATAAAATATTAACCATATTTTAATTGATCAATAAAATATGTAAGACTCAGTAAAATTTGGAAAATCGGGATAGTTTTTATAAAGTAATTTGACTTAAATATTTAATGTGAACGTTAGCCGCATAAAAATTTAATTAGACAAATATTTACATTATTTGCACACAGTAAGAAAATTGGTTATTAAAAGTAAACAGTTACCGATTTTCAGAACGAATAAAGAATAATAAAACAAAAAATTGTTTAAGTAGTTTTTTTAAAGTGGCGCTGGTGTAGTTTTGTATTACCACTGAGACTTAGGGTGACCATAGTAGGGGCGAAAAGTGTCTTAAAAACATTATGAGCTCCTTGAAGAAAAGTAAAAGAACAAAATAAAATGCGAAAACTTTACGCAATGTACGAAGATATTTTCGTAACCAATAATGGGGTAGAATTTCAACACTTTTGAAGTTATTTTTGAAATTTTTTTTAAGAGGGGAAAATCATTTGATGACTTCTCCCGCCTGTGTGAGGCGGGAGGGAGTGTCAGACTCTTATTGACTAAAAACCACCCTGAGCCCCGGTAACCCGTTAAGTCCTCCGCGGTATTTTTAACATTTAGATGTCTTTAAGGTTTAGAGCTTGTAGACATACGAGTTTAAGCCCACGTTGAAATTGGTTGGTTGTTTTATGCGGAATGCGTTACGGGGTTTTTCCGGTTTTTGGAAAACTCTTTCTAATTACCCAGGGTTTTATATTGGGCTTGTGGCAAAAGGTGCACCCTTATAACAACAGATGTTATGAGAGTGATACATTAGATTAGTATACTTCTGTCTAATCCTTAATGATTAAAACTGATATTATGTTCCGTTAGGTTATTAAAGTTATCTTTTTGTAAACAGAGTATTCTTTCTTAATTAGTTAATTTTCTTACTTCAATGATTAGATATCTATGGAGGTATTATTTATTTTTACCATACCCGAACCTGGACCCTTTAAGAGTTATAATATTCAAAAGCCGGTACATAATAAAATATTATCGCATACAGGTTAGATGCACCGCTACTAGATTCTCAAAGTCTACGGTCGATTCAAGATGGCTGATTAGAATTGCAGATATACAAGTCATCATAACTGTAATCAATACTTTTTATACAGTCGCTTCGTTATTTATCGAGCTGCAACATTTTTCTTACTTTATTGCAAAAGTATAAAGTGCATATTGAATAAACAATAAGTCTAAATTATAAACCCAGGTCAACTCCTTTTGAATATTCAATTCACCACGAGGACGGTTAGACGACACTGCAGAATGTTAACATCGAAATATAACATGTCCATCCAGTGGCAACTTAATTTTAGAGTAACTGAAACCAAATACGTATGTGCAAGTCGACTTGCAAAACTAAAAGGCCTTACCCATGCAAAGTCAGAATATTAAATATCCTCGGATATATCGGGCGTCGGTACCCGCACTACGCTACAAAACAAAAATAGATCTAAATACTTTGCTACCTCATTCTAAGAAAGCAAGAATAAGGAACTGCATATTTACAACGTTTGCAGTAATCAATTTAGTACAAGCCCCCGCTACCGGCACTATATGTTCCTCGAAGCCAACTCTAACACTTGAATAAAAACCATTATTTTATAACAACGTCTAGAAATACTAAGAAATGTTCGCTAAACTACCAACAAGTTGTAGAAACATAATTTTTTGTTGAAAATATAAATACTAACCGTCCATTGTTAGTGCAAAGTTGTATAATTTAGCGTTTCGCGACCAAAACTAGGTCTTTCTTGTAACAAAAGGATATTGTTTCAGTACAATTAGCAATGCAATCAACATAGATAAGTAAATGTTTGAGCCATTCCAGCCAGTGCCTACTTTTGTTAAAAATTTTACGATTATTTAGCGATGTTTGTTAGCGTTTTATCGTCGGAAAATGAGGGGCCGAGCTGTGTGCCGAATATCCGCGAAGGCCGAAGCCGAAGTCGCGTGTGGGGCGACTCATTGTTTTGACTTTGTGAATTTGACGAGTTACATTTTATTGGGATATGGCGATATCTTGTATCTAGGGGCAAACAAATAAAAGATATTTATAATTGATATATCGTTTCAAGTTATTGTTAGATTTAGCTAATTACGTAATAACGTAAGAAGGAAGGACCCTAAGTGGGGTCTGAATAAATTAACCGGCCGGGTATTGCATGGATCTCACAACTTTTTACGGTAGAAGAACTGAGTGTTGAACTTGTTTTTTTTTACAAGTTTTGTTTTTGTTGGCACTTTAGATATTTTACATGAATTTTCAATTTGTCAGATATATTAATTAAGAGATTTTCTTACATGTAGAATTGTCAATTGATCCCAAAAAAACTTTGTTAAACTTTTCACAAAAGGCCAATAAATAACAGATTTGTCTACAGGAATGTTGTTGTAGACGGGACCTTCCCCTAAAACCGCACAGTACACAACCAAACACGTCCGCCTTTAAACGGCTTTTCTCTCCCCTTTCTCGTCCCTCGGTCCCTCAGTTCCTCACAAGTGGGTCCTCGCGGCGTTTATAATTTGAACTCAATTTTGAGCAAATAGTCTCTCGATTGGTTACAACTTAAGTACTTTACAAGTGATAGGTGCTGGAATCAATTGCCTTCAAGCAGGTTTGTGATCATCGGAGTGTTCTTGTTCTTCGTTCGTACTTATTGTCGTTTTTAAGTGGATATAGAATACCTATGTTGTGTCTAGTTGAAGAATGCTATTTTTTCTTATTTGTTAGGTGTGTTTTGTAAGATAACGTGGATGTTAGATTAACTCTTTGAGTACCGTCATTATAGACACAATTAAAGAACAATAGGCTGCGGTCACCGGTGTCCTCGCGGTGTTTGACAGTTTAATTCTGCAACAATAATAAATATTACCGATTGGTTTCGTTACCTGTGTGATGTGCTTTCTTTGTTATTAAAAATGTAAAAAGCCAGTTAAAAAAAAAATAAAGAATATAATAAATATAGTTCCTTATTTTCAGTCTTACATGGCAAGTACAAAAAAAAGCCGGACCTAATTACTACACATTTTTTTTGCGTTTAAATAAACATTTGCGCTTCTACAACAGTAGATACAAACGTAAAAAAGAACGGAATCATGAATAGTCCAATATTCCGACACTGAATCGCTTCAAAGTCAAGTCAAACATTTTATATTAATTAGACTAAGACTAAACTTATTAAGTCATTTTAATACAATACAAAAATAATAAACATATCTATCTGTCTGTCAGTCTCATAGTGAAGCTATGTGCATCTTACAATGCCGGTGGTAGTTTCTATAGGGAAGAACGAGGAAAACCTCCATGGTTACTTTTTGGCAATTGATATTCAGTATCACAAATTAGTATTATATACAGAATAACCCAATAAGCGTTTCATATTTACACTTCATAAACATTTTAAATGAAATGAATATTTAAACAGTATCAAAATTAATTTTGTTAAACGTAAGAAGATTATAAGTAACATTTTTACCTGTACACTTATTATTTTGGTATCTTACTATCTGACTCTGAGAGGAAAAACTGAAACAGTCAAAGGTGTCTTTAATAAAAAGTAATAATATATTGGTTGTAAATATATATATCTTGGTCTGAAATGAACATGGACTGGCCATAAAATAGAACTTAGTTTTTTTTATATTTTTTTAGGAAAGTTTTCAAATATAGAATGCTACGTGTTACATAAAGAAAACCCAATATTAATTTAAAAGGCTTTTTATGAATAAAATGTTATCAAAGTTACTACAAATAAGAGTAGGTAAAGTACTACAAATGTAATTTTATTCAGGTTTAATTTCAAGCCCGCAAAACAATATCACTGTAAAAAATGTCAACAATCAGAACCACTCAAAAACCGCTAATGAAAAACCTAGAAATTAGAACTTAATTAAATTAATAATTTTTAATTAAAGATTTTTAATTAAAAACGATCAAATCAAATTATCGATTATTCTTTTTCGATTAGTGATCCCAATCAGAAGTATTGCATCCCCGCATCATGCATTAGTCTGTTAATTTTTATTTCTAGAACAAACTAGTTAGCATGAATTCCGCATATGAAATCACTAACACGACCATGCAGATTTCAATTAACGTTCGTAATTAAAAATGTAAGTAGAGAGAATAAAAAAAATATAGTATTAAGTAGTAGATTAATTTATGCCAGTCGATAAGCCTATTTATTATACTTGCTGTACGATTAATTCTGTTAATATCCAATGGCCGAAGTAACTTTGATAAGCACAACGATTTTATTACTTATTCACTACGAAGAACATTATTTTGCGTATTTTTGGTACAATTGTAATGTTATGCCTCGTTCCGACGTAGTTTTAAACAGTAGTTGATTACGAGACTCGATCGAGCGCCACCAGAGCGCGCTGGCATCGAGTTTCGAATAGATCTCAGGCAGCGTTTGAACTTTGAAAGTTTCTGGGAGTTACCGATGTACTGGTACAAAATTGTAGGGATCTTGTATACCTATACGAATTTAAATAATATAATAATACCTATGATAACTTCATTGTTAGTTATTTAAAAGAGATTTCTCTGATTGAGGAGTTTGAGGAAGAATGT